GGCAACAGCAAGTCTAGAAAATGGTGATTGCTTAATAAATGTCTGAAGGCAGGGAGATGGGAGGAGTTGACTCTTTGGTATCTGTGGCATCTATTTGTGTGGCATCGCTTTGACTGCCACACGACATATCTCTTTTCATTATTTATGAAATATCATGAAAGACAAAGACTATTCTACCAAACAGAATCTTATCAAGGAGCTTTTTATTCGCTAGAGAAAAATAAAACTTCTCCGCTGTCCTCATCCTGGTGTCCAGCTATGTCATGTCACACAGATAAGACTTGCAAGGCTGAATATTCATTTTTTACAATGCTATATTCAATCTGAGTGACAATAGCAGGTATGATTTATCAGGGGCGTACTATGTGTCAGGTCTTACGCTAAGGACTTCATGTACCGAATTTTGTCTTACCTTTACAACGGCTCTGGCAAGATGGAGCTGGGATTATTTTCCTCCTTTTACAGAGGGCCTTGGTGCTCAGAAATCTAATGACTTCCCCAGGTCACCATATTAGTAGTTAGTGGAGTTCATATTTAAAACTCAACTTGTTTATTTCAAAACACAGGATAATACCCAACATGTGGTATTGCTGCCTCTATTCTTTGTTTCTTTTCTTTTGAGTTTCATAGACGATACCACAACCATTTTTCTCTTGTGACTAAAATCAACCTTTCCTTGGTGGTAAGTAAAAGATCAACACCCATCTGATTGGTATCTAGTAGAAAAAAATGAAACCGAATCCTTGGTGAACAGAGAAGTAAATGAGAAGTCCAACTATCCTTCCCATCCCCCAAAAACAACTCGGAGACAAAGATAAAAGATCACACAGGCCAGGTGCAGTGACTCATGCCTGTAGTCCCAGAACTTTTGGAGGCTGAGGTGGGTGGATTGCTTGAACCCAGGAGGTTGAGACCAGCCTGGTGAACATAATGAAGCATCATCTCTCACAAAAAGACTGAGGAAAAGAATTGTCTGAACCCAGGAGGTGGAAGCTGCCGTGAGCTGTGATCACTGTGGTCAGGCCATTGCAGTCCAGTCTGGGTGACAGAGTGAGGTCCTGACTCAGAAAGAAAGAGAAAGAAAGAAGGAAAGTAGGAAGGTAAAGAAGGAAGAAAGAAAGAAAGAAAAGAGAGAAAGAAAGCTGACTAAAGATGTTTTGAATGGTAGAAATTGCCTACAAATGTAGCTGTAGGGGCGGTGATGTTAAAAAGAGAACAGAAAGAGGCCTTTCTAGGCATTGGTATGAGGTCCACGCAAAGTGCCCTGAAAGGGTCACTGATAAAGGACAAGTCATTTTTTAAAAAAATTAGACTAGTCACTTAACCAAGGTAAGTACATATAGGAAATTAAATTCATTGGAGAGATTCTCAGAACCACGCTAAGAACATCACAGTTGTCAATGCAATTTTCCCAGTTGCCTTCAAGACAGGTATTTTCGTCATCTCCAGATTTGAGACCTGGAGGCAGATAAAGGCCCAGTGAGCGACTCAAGGTCACACGCCGGGAAGTTGCAGGGAGAGGCTTGAGTCCAGGCCAGGCTTCATCCCAAGGCTGTGCTCTTGCTCCCACACCTCAGTGTACCCAGTTGTGCTCCCACCGGGAAGTAAACAAGCAGCAGTGCTCATTCTCTGCTTCTTGGGACCTTGCAGACTCACTTTCGGTTTATAAGGGGAACATTGTTCTTTCCCTTCTTTTTCACTTATCTCTCGCAATTATGACAGTATTTAGGAAGGGTAGACCATTATTTTCCTCCCTGAAGCCATTGACTGTCCTGGATACTGCTAACCTCCTAGTGGATTTTATAGAATTCTACTAATAACACTTTGTCTGAAGAAAATGTTCCCTTTCTGCTACAAAGCTGCGCCTACTTAAGAGATGAATTTTTATTATTTTGCTTGGCCCATTATCACAAGAGATGTTCAACTTGTTTTTTGGTTTGGTTTTATTTATTTAGTTAGTTAGGTGCATATTGCTTTGGAGGTAGTTCTTTGCCTTCACTTACGGGGGTTTTTATGATGTGACAAAATTTATATCAATTTATTTAATAATGACCTTTTCCAAGATACTCCATTTCTGAAAGATTATCTTTATATAAATCTATGCCCATTGGGAATATTAGAAAGTGTAAGTGATCTAAGATATTTGTGTTTATAATCTTAAGCCCCTTGAGATAAAGAAAACATAGATTTTTTTTTTGAGAAGGTGGCTAGCAATACTGAGTGCTGCCACCTTGCAGAAGTTTTCACCATAATTTTTAGGAAATCAGCTATAAGCAGTTTTTAGGAAATCGGCTATAAACATAAAAACTACATCTGTAGTTTTTTGGGTTTGTTTTTTTTTTTAGTCAGAGTCTCACTCTGTCACCCAGGCTGGAGTGTGCAATGGCACAATCCCAGCTCTCTGCAGCCTCTACCTCCTAGGCTCAGGCGATCCTCCCACCTCAGACTCCAGAGTAGCTGTGATTATAGGTGCATGTCACCATGCCCCTTGAATTTTTTCATTTTTTGTAGAGACAACTTTTGCTATGTTGCTTAGGCTGGTTTTGAACAACTGGACTCAAGCAGTCCTCCCACTTTGGACTTCCAAAGTGCTAGAATTACAGGCATGAGCCGTCATGTCAAACCAGACATTTCCATAGTAAACATTTGAGTATGTTCCTGATCAGATATGAGAGTTTTTTTTTTAACTATAAAGATCACCTACTAAAAATATATAGCCCTTTGCATAACAAACTTATTTCTTCCCTGTCACATCTTACTATTAGATGGATCATTGTGTTATGCCTTGAGTCAATTATCCTGTTCAAATTAGTATGCTGAATTGAGTGCTTAGTTTTTCCAGCTATTAACCTTAAAAGGGAGTAGGGTGACAGCTTCCATTTTGCCTCAGCTCACCTTAAGGCTCCAGCTGGAAACTCTCACTTTGTAGGTTGATGCTGCAGTAATCAGCTCAAGTGGAGTAAATAGTCGACCAATTGCCGTATTTGTGTTTGTCAGAATAGGGAATTTTAGGTTATGTATAATAATAAAGGGGATTCAAGTGTTTGTTTCATCACAGAGACATTATATTTGCTCCAGTTTTGCTGGATATGAATAGTAAGCATTGTTTTGAGGTTCTAGTCATATGTTTTATACTACATTAGAAACTTCTGTTCTCAAGAATTAAAGTTAGATGAAGCCTTCATGATTACTCTTGACGTTCATTAGAATGCTAAATACGGCATTTTTTCAAGTAATCATTACTTTTGTTTTTTAAGACAGAATCTTCATTATAGATTTAAGGTAGTAATACTAGTGCAGACCCGTGAAGAATTTACAAAAAGGACGAAGCTGTACGTAGCTCCCACCCACTTCAGCCATGACAGCCACCATATTCAGTTACTAAAGACTAGAGAAACACAAATGAATTTTGTTTGTCAAAAGATGAAGATGACTGTTAAGTCATTATCAGTGGAATTACAAACCGATGCTTGTGGAATAAACCGTGACCCCCACTCCCCAGGGCCTAAAGGAACGTCTCTATCTTAGACTTGGGGAAATATTCCTAAAATTCTGTAAATTCCCACTGTTTACTGGGGTTTTTCTTCAGTGTAAAAACAAGTATATATCATCTTCCTCTTTTTCCTCCTCTGTCCTTCCTTCTTCTGCTCCTCCTTCTTCTCCCTCCTCTCTTCTGCTGGCCCTCCTCCTAGGAGCCAGTTTATATCAGATTCATAGTTTCTCCCTTCTGCGAAATAGTCAAATAGTGTCAGTATTGATAGTGAAAAAACACAGAAGATCCCCAGGAGAATCCATGAGGCATAAAGCCGGGTGGCAATACATTTTAAATATTTTCAAGGAGGCATCTAGCTGTGTTAATATAATGTCCTGAGGTTTCTCCCCTCACTCACAAGGTAAAACACCAATATCATCAGTGTGCTTAATGGCTCTGGGGAAAGTAAGAAGGCTGCTGAGGGTAGGAAAGATGAGCGTAAATCATAAAACTTTTCTTCCATGTAAGGGCTTTAGGCGGTTGATCAATATCTGTACATGCCAAGTGGTTTTGAGCATAGGTTTGCAAGTTAGGCTTTCTGGGTTAATATCTTGCCTTTGTTGCTTGGGCAATTTACTTAATATTTAACTCTGTGAGTTTGTGAATTTCCTCATCTATAAAATGGGGCAAATAAAGACTACCTGATGTAGTTATTTGAGGATTAAATAAAATAGTGTGCATAAAATATCTAAGAGAATGCTTTGCCCATGATAAGTGCTCAACAAATGTTGCAAGAGAATGGAAAGTATGTTCTGGGCTTTTAGACAACTCCTTGGTTTGGTTTCATGGAAGTGGATCATCTTAGCATTTTATTGAACTAAGGAGAACATTATTGAAGTAACATTTTCCTGTTCAATGTTTGTGGAACTTTCCATACAGAATCTTAGGTATTTGTACACACAGATGCCCATGTTTGAAAAGTTAACAACCTATTAAAAAAAAATGTGTTCATATTTTCAATAGGCCATATGATTTTTTCTTTGATAATGTTTTAGAGTTACCATCTAGAAAGTTATTTTATCTGATAATTGATTGTATTTTATTAAAATCTTCAGATACACAGACACAGGTTAAAATAAGTTGAAAAATTGTACAAAGAAGCCATCCTCTATCACAAGGCACTTTTCTCTCACTGTATTTATACCTTGTGTGTCCTAAGCTCTGCATCCTCATTATTCTTCTTGTGTTCTTCCTGAAATTTTTTCATTTTAATTATTCCCTTCAAACTCTTGAAACTGAAACCATTGAAGAGTTTTCGCATTAACTGTCACATGAATCAGTGAAGTCAGAAGGATATTTCCATCTGAAGTATCTATGTGTTTCCACAAGTAGTTCTGACTAGTAGGAAGTCCATAAGTATTGTGCCCCAGTTCCTTCAGAATCCTTCATAAGGCCTTCAGCTATCTAAAACTCAGTGCACCTAAGCACGAAATGTGTAAGTTAAGCCAAGAAAGGTGGTGGTTTGTATGTTAGTGGTCCAAGGGGGACTAGGCAGAAACGGTCAGAAAATAATTTACCCTCTGACTCTCTCGAGATAAATGGGAAGAGTTTGCATCCCTTAAGTATAAGGCCTGTTGGCTCTGGATGTGCTTTGTTTTGTTTTCTAAGTTGAGTTCAATCTGAAGGCTAGAGTTTTTCAGTTTCAGCCGCAATCTATAGGAAGATGGCATAAAGAAAATCTTAAAAGAAAAGAAAATCTTAAAAAGAAATCTTATAAAGAAAAATCTTAAAATAGTGTATGTATTAGAGGCTACAAAATCTTACAAAAAGTAAAATTAAAATGTATTTACATCCCTCTAATCAAAGGTGATTTTCTTTAGTCTCTCTTAAGTAACAATTTTAGGAACATTTTTGGTAAATCATGCCCTTTTAAATCTTTGTTCAGTCCCTCAAAAAGTATCTGAAGTAAACAAGACATGGATAATAGATGGATTAACAATTCTCTAAAAAAGCAATATTTTAAAAATATACAATCTGGTCCATACTCAATAGACCAGTCAGTCCGGAGCTATTTGCTGCTGTCACTAAAGTGTGTCGCAGGGCCTTCCTGGGCCATGCTTTTCCCAGCCACACTCTATAAAGGCCCATCTGACTGTCCCCTGTGCTGTGCTTCCAGGCAACGGAGAGGAATGAGGCAGGCTTCACTCTGGGAGAACTGGTGTCTTACCGTAAACGCAGTCGCTCTCATATTTCAGAGACTAACAGAGATCTTACTTGATTATCTTTCCAGTTATAAAAAAATATTTAAGATCAAAAATGAAATACCACTGACCAACTTGTGGGTAGCCGACTGTGTGGACAAGAAGGGAGAACCTCAGACCTCTGCCAGGAAGTCCTTTCTCCTGGGCTGGCCCATGGTGAACTTTGTGGCCACCTTCTGGTAAGATCTACAGCTTGTTCCTCTGTTTATGTAGGTTAACTATGAAAGGACATAGTTAACCTCAAATTCTCTAGGACACTGAAAAATGTAATTAAATTTTTCCCTGAACTTTCTTGAAAAGGCAAACGTTTTCATTTGTTGTCTGTGAAGCCATTAACTCACCTTTTGTCCTCCCTGGTGGCAATTGGATGCCTTGTACCTTCCCCAAATAGGTTTTTGTGTGCAAATATGTGCAAATGGATAATTAATCCTGGGGATGACTGCAGTCATTTCCTCTGGGTTTGAGCAGTGGTTTTCAACAGGGCTTTTGGAGCTACTGGGGAGTGGGTGTTTCGGGCCTGTGCCTGGGGGCTGAGGGAGCAAGGCTCTAGACCTCCTTGGCAGCACCCACCCCTGGGCCCAGGACTCGCCTGGACTTTACACGACTTTACTGCAGCTAGTATTACTCACTAGTCCAAGTAAGTTTGAAAACAATTGTTTTCATACTCCCAAGTTAATTACCTCGATAAATAGTGTTTAATTATCCAAATGAGGTCAATCACACCATCCCATACTGGGTTGCTTGAATTGTTGTCTAGCAGATTATCATACTTTGTATCTATAGGGAGGTGACAATCCAGAACAAAGATTTGATTGGCGAGAATGCCTGACACTTAGTTCTCTTGCTATTTGCTGCTCTTACTCTTCTATAAACTGGCATGAGTCATCAGACTTGGTGTCCATGTTCCAATCCAGGTTGGGGGCCAGCAGGTGGCCCACTCTTCAGATCCCGAGGTGGTGTAGACTTGGGGAGTGAGGAAGATGTTACTGGTAGATTTATAAAGTGTGGCAGCCCCTGCAGAAAACTTGGTGGTTCATAAGTTCAACAAAGAATTACCATTTGACTCAGAAATTGCATTCCTAGGTATAGACCCAAGGAAAGAAAGCTATGCAGCCACACACATGTGTGCTGCACAGATGTTTATGGCAGCATTGTTTATAATAGCTGAGAAGTGGAAGCAATTCCCATTTTTCTTAACTGATGACTAGATAAACAAAATGCGGTCTAAGTGCTGGGGATGAGTTGAGAGGGGAGGGGGTGTCTTGCTTAACGGACATAGGGTTTGCATTGGAAGTAATGAAACTGTTACTAGGGTCAATTTTATGTTACATGTAACTTGCTACATAAAAAAAACTAGTCAGTGATAAGTTTATATGTGAATGATCCTTAGGACATTCTCAATTTGGATATTAAATGCTGCATTGAGATAGGGGAGAAAATAGTACTCATCAGTATACAGTAGGTGAATTTATTTTGATCAGAGGATTATAACAATGAAGAATATGTTTTCTAGGAACTAATTTAGTGTATTGTAATATTGCTATCTGTATAATGAAATAAAATATCATGGGTTTTTTTCCTCTAAGAAAATTCTTGTTTGGGGACCAGGAAATTTCCATCAAATGTAAGATTTATTAAGTATGTTTCAGTCTGAACAATAATATTTTTTACATTTGCATAGCACTTCAAGCTGCAAGTAACACCCTTTTCAGTTGTAGAAACTGAAGCTTGGAGCAGTGATTTGAGTTGCCTGTGATCACATAGCTTGTATCACAGTTGCGATCGAGTGTTTAGGTTTTAAACGAGCCTCTTCCACTCTGAGATCTTCTTCCCATTGTTGTAATACTGCCTGTGAAAGAGCAGGTCCCATCCTTAAGGCCTTGTCTGGGGGAGGGAGAGGGGACAGTTGGCTCACGCATCCCCATCAGTACCAGCTAACTGCTGATATTTTGATCTGGAATAGCAGTCTTAAAACATTAGTATAGATATTTTATGTGTAGTTTAATTTTTCTCCCATTTTTAAAATTGCAGTTCTTCAGAAGTAAAGGAACAATGGCGCTCTTCCCTTCAGAGGTATTCTTCAGAATACATATTGAAATATTTGATTTATGATAAAAGAATGCGAATCTTTGCAAAGCAGTGCCTCCAAACTATTTCTCTTTTGCATGCTTTGTTTATTTTTGAGAAAGCTCTGAGAACCATTCATCTTCTCCCACCCCCACCATTTGGATTGGAGCTAACGTTATTCTTGAGATGTGTATTAAAATTTCCAAGCCAAGCATGGTAGCTCATACCTGTAATCCTAGCTACTTGGAAGGCTGAGGAAGGAGGATTATTTGAAGCCAGGAGTTCAAGACTATAGAGGCTGCAGTGAGCTCTGGTCAAACCACTGTGCTCTATCGAACAATTCTCAAAGCAGCTGCTACTTTCTACTCTTAAACCCAGGAATGTGCTGCATCTTCCAATCCAGGCAGGAGTGCTTGAGGACCAGATCTGTGATCCAAATCTTACATTACAAAAAACCTCTTATTTTCTGGTTCATGCCTTATTTTTCTGAAATAATTTGGATATTTTTCCAACCCCAAATTTGATCTTGCTGGGTCTCTCTCTATATATATTTTAAAATAATATAAAGTATATTAAAATATTAGCAACATAGATTCATGTGAAAATAAGCCACTGGCTAATTATTTCTACTTCATTTTGGGTTATTACTGAATTTGATTAGGTACATCACTTTAGCCGTGGAAAAGGATCATTCAAAGAGCATTCCCCTTCAGATCTCCACTAAGGACTGCAAGAAAAGTTCCTATGTAAGTGTTTTTAAGACCAAAAATTAAATTATGAGTTTCTGACTTAGGCAGAAAGAAAGAGATATAGAGATAGAAATAGAGGGAGAGATGATAGAGATGGGGGAGGGTAGCAGAGATAAGGGAGAAGAGAGAGAAAGAGCATTTAGAAAGTACTGTGTAAAATTTAAAAAATAAAGTATCCTGTGGAAAAGTGTATGCTTATGTATGTGTATGTGTGTGTTTGTAAGTATAAAAGTATATTCTAGGCAATGTGAAGAAAGAAGAATCCATGTTAATTACAGTGCTTAAGCTTGAAGGGACTATTGCATGTTCAGTGTCCATCAACTCTAGTGATTTGTTGTAATAAAGTGGTTTGCACAAGCTGGTATTTCTCATTAGAATTAAACTATTTTTTTCCAGTTGCCGCTACTTACATACAAAGTGATTATGGTGGTTTCTAATGTTTTTTTTGAAAGCTCATTTATTTTATTTTAAAATGTTTTCATTTATTTGGAAAAAATTGCAAACATACAGAAAGTACAAAATATTAACACAACTATATACCATTTTCCAGATTTACCTGCCCAATAACAGATTACCACATTGCTTTATCAGTTATTTTTATTCTGCTCTGTGTCTTTCTTCCTCTATGAATGTGTTATGTATATACCTACTTTTGAAGTTATATACACCATGGCTTTTTATTTTAAACACACATTTCCTAAGAATCAAGTTATTCTCTTTATAACCACCACTTGGTTATCAACGTAAGTAAATTTAACATTGATATCATATTTTAATCTATTCATGATCCAGTTTTGTCAGTTGATCCCAAGTATGTTTCCTTTGCAGCACAGGATTCACTCTGGGGTCAGATATTGCATTTAGTTGTCATATCAAATACAGAGCAGTTTTGAAGGTTTTTCATTCTGAGGAATATTGGGATTGAATTGAGCTAAGAGGGATAACACTTTTAAGTGATGTGTTTACTTTATTGCTTCTTTTGGAGAAAAAAACCCAAACCTTCAGCTTTCATTGTGCAAATACTGATATCTGAATTGTAGTGCAGTTGCCATGTGTTCATAATGGTGAACATATTCTACATATGTATTCTACATATGTATTCTACCTATGTATTCTACATATTTTTTTATGGCACCTTGTTTTTAAAGCAGTTCTAGGTCAAACACAATAGTATTTGTAGAAAGTTAAAAAAAAAGGGGGGAGAGTTCTAAAAGTGAAATCGTGTTCAATAGCCAAAGTCAGGCAAATATTCCGACGTATTTTCAGGTACTGGAAGTATTCATTTCTTGAGGAGGATAAGACTAGAGAGTTCTCCTGTAGGAGAGCACACTCTTGTCTGCCTGCTTTGAGTTCAGTTATGGCAAAGGCTTACATTCCAAATTTTTCGTGGGCAATTTTCCTGAAATGTTATTTATTTTTGAGTCAGGGTCTCACTCTGACACTCAGGCTGGAACGCAGCATCACAATCATGGCTCACTGCAGTCTCAACCTCCTTGGTGCAACCATCCTTCCACCTCAGGCTCCAGAGTAGCTGGAACCACAGGCACACACCACCATGCCTAGTGAACTTGGTGTTGAGACAAGTTCTCACTATATTTCCTAGACTGGTCTTGAGGTGCTGGGCTCAAGCATTCCTCCCACCTCATCCTCATAAGGTAATGGGATTACAGGTATGAGCACCCAGACCTCCCCCAAATTTAAAGAAACAACTTTACTTAGATATAGTGTACAAGAAAGACACTTGCTTAATATTGTGAATGCTCCAAGTTTTCCTCAAATGCTGTTTCATTTCATCCTATGGAAACTTTTCTTACTATTTCTTATAGTGTAGATCTGGTATCAACACATTTTCTTAGTCTCTTTTATCTAAACATGTTTTAATCTCACCTATACTCTTGAAAGACATTATCACCAAATATAGAATTTTGTTTAACAGTGTTTTCTTTTCAGCATTTCAAAGATATTTCACTGTTTTTTATTTTTGTTTTTGTCTCTGCACTTTGTGATGAGTAGTCTGTGATAATCAACCTTGATCCTCTCTCTGTGATTTTTTATTTTGACTGCTTCCGAGATTGTCTCTTTATGTTTGACTTTTAGCAGTTTGCCTATGATGTGTCAAAGCATGATTTTCATTGAATCTATTCTGTTTGACATTTTCTGAACTTCTTGAATTTGTAAATTTTTCTCTTTTGTCAAACTTGGGAACATTTTAGCCATCCAAGACTTCTTTTTATCCCCATTTCTCTTTTCTCACATTCTAGGATTCCAGTTACACGTACCTTCAAACTTATTAAAGTTTATTTTTAATTGGCACATAATTGCACATATTTATGGGGTGCACGCTAATGTTTTGTTACCTACAGTCCATAATGATCAGATCAGTGTAATTAGCATATTCATCATCTTGAACAGTGCTGGGGACACTCAGCATCCTCACTTTTAGTTATTTGGAAATGTACGTTTTTGCTACCTATAGTTCTTCTGCAGTGCTATAAAGCACCAGGACTTACTTCTCCTGTCTACCTGTAATTTGGTGTTCTTTTACAAATCTTTCCCTATCCCTCCATTCCTCTCACCCTTACCAGCCTCCAGCAAACTCTGATCTCCTTTTTACCTGTGCAAGATTAACTTTTTTTTTTTAGCTTCCAAATATGAGTGATAAGATGCAGTTATTAAACTTCCTGATGTTGTTCACGGGTCCCTCGGGTTGTGTTACTTTTTTCAATCATTTTTTTTCCTTCTTGTTCAGACAGGATACTTTCTATTAACTTATAGTCAAATTCACTGTTTCATTTTTCATCTCAATTATGCTACTTTTCCCATCCAGCAAATTTTTTCCAGCTATTTCTCAGATCTAAAATTTACATTTTAAATATTTTGATGTCTATGCTGAGAGTGTGCTTCCTAGGAGCTTATTTTCCTTTACATAATTGAACCTAATTATAATAGTTGCTTTTTTTCTCATAATTTGAACATCTAGATGATGCGTCTTAAAGTTGGCACCTGATAATTGGTCACATTTTCCTAGTTCTTCATGTATCAAGAAACACTTTGGCTCATAAAAAAGTAACATTTCCATTTTTAAAATTATTTGATAATTTTATATTTTAGAATTTCTTGTTTACAAAGAGCTCTATGTACAGAAGTTTATCTGTTTTGTCTACAAGGAGAACAACATCAGGGAGAAATACACATATCCTTTTAATTATTATTTTGAACTTAATATGTTCTTTATACATGAACATATTAAGTGAAACCCCACTGTCCTATAAACCACATAAAGAAAAGCAGGAATACTATTCTTTCAAAAGATTTTTTTTTTTTAACTTTACAAAAGACTTTATGGTAGAGTTTTTAAATTATATGGGAGGACCTTCAGAGATTTTCTAAAAATAGCAGAATCCTGACTTCTAATTAAATCCCTAGTTAAAGCCCAGTGTTTGCACCCTTCTAGACGCTTGAACATGAGAAGCCTCTAACAATGCTGAGTATGTTTGTTCTGAGCCCTACTGTTGTGTTCTGAGAAACTTTTTCACAATTCTTGGGGCTACAAGCAGCACAGTTTGAAATAAATTTCAGTTGTCTTTATTTATAAAAATAAAATTAACTTCCAGGGCCATGAGTCATGCTAATCAGTCAACAAGAAAAAGAATACAGTGAAAGGGAAAGTAATACATTTTAAGAGGTTTTTTTGCTTCATCTTTAAGGTCCATGGGTATTGACTTGTGCTGTTTATTTGTCCTTTTGAAGCAGGTTTATCAGCAGACACAGCCCTCACTGTAGATTTATTACAAGACCTATATGCATAGCATAAAGAACACAAATCTTCTTGTTACAAATTGTCTGATTTTAAAATAATGTCTTTTGAAATTCAGAGTTAATAGCTATCATCTCAGTATTCTATTAGTTCTTTCAGTTTATTTTCTGAAAATTGCCTCCTAATTTTATACTGCAGTTTCTCAATCTGAGATGTATAAAGAGCTATCACAGAAACCCTATTCAGTGGAAGAGTTGGGAATTAAATTTAAATTTCTAACATTTTAATTTAATTCTCTCAATCGATTTCAACAATATAGATCTTAGTAGCCATGATGCCTGACATGAAGTACTCACTACATAGTGGTTTAAAAAATGTCTTTCAGCCGGGCTCGGTGGCTCAGCCTGTAATCCCGCACCTTTGGGAGGCTGAGGTGAGTGGATTGCCTGAGCCCGAGGGTTTGAGACCCACCTGGGCAGCGAGACCTCATCTCTACAGTAAATCAAAAATCAGCCAGGCGTGGTAGTACATGCCTATAATTCTGGTTACTTGGAAGACTGAGGTGGAAGGATCACCGGAGCCCAGCAGGTCGTGGCTGCAGTGGCTGGGAGCGGCCACTGACTCCAGTCTGGACGACAGAGTGAGACTCCAACTCAAAAAAAAGGAAAAAATGTTTTTCATAGTCGGTTTCTATTTTTATTTTACTAGAAGTGAGTGTGTGATTTTCAAAAAAATAAAGCCATGTGATAAAAACAAAGCCAGGAAATAAGGGAAAGGCTCCATCTCCTCCTTTTAAAACTACTTCTTTTTTAAAAAAATGTGTTTCTATTCAGGATTAGGTGCATATGTGGTCACTGTACAGATAAAGTTTGGGCCTCCCTTTGGTCTCAACTCTGCCCAGTTTGAGATCGGGTACCCTTATTGATGTTATGTTCCCCTCTTCGGCAGTTAGCCTCATGGTGCTGAGTACTGGCCAGTCCTGTGCCCTCTCTGAATTCCCAGGTTTTCTCTTCTTGCCTCAGTAGTTAAATTTTGAGTACCAGAAATCCTTTATTTTAAGAGAAATATGTTTTACTGAAGTTCTTTTTACTGGGTTTATGTAATACAAAGGAATGAAAATGAATTAAGGATTCATGTTCTATCTGTGCTTTACTTTGCCATGACCTAGAAGCAAGCTTTGCCTTTAGACGATGGATAATAATTTGACAATAATTGTGTAATCATATGCATTGGAATTGTTAATTTATAGCAAAATTTCTTTTTTCTCTTTTAGTCTGTAACTGTGACCATATCAAATTCGGACACAGCAAATGACATAATCCACAAGGCATTATCAATGCTAGGAATAACCGTAAGTTCCCTACAAGCCAATTTCAGTTAAAAACTAACTTGGGAAAAAAATAAACAAAAAAAACTTGAATTTTTTCATTCAGTATATTCAGATATACGCAGGTGTACACACACACGTGTTTTGTATCTTGCACCTTCCATCGTTAGAAGCTGGTTCAGAGATACATCAAACTCATAATTTACCCCCCACACTTGGGTTATGAGTTTATATGCAGGTGCTTTCTTGTATTCTCGCGTCGCATTTTGTGTGAAGTGAAAATGATAGCATAATAAAAGTGGGTTATCATTATAGAATACTGATAACAACATGAATTTTCATTGTATATATTATATACATATACAATAACAGTTTTGAAAAATTCCTAACAAGAAAGTTCCAATCTCTTCTACTGCACTGTTCTTTAAACATCTTATCTCCTAGTTTCTCACCTCTCATATGTTCTTACCCTGATGATCAACCAAGGACTCGATCTTAGTCCTGAAGGACATCTTTCAAAAATTTTGACATAAAAAACATCTGGCTCGAAGCCATTACCCCTGATGAAGGTCCCTGGAACGAGACAGCTCATGCATCTAATGAATTGGTAAAGAAAAAGACAAGGTTTGAATGAGTCAGTGGATTGGGGGGCATTTGTGTGCACATTGCTTTCTTCCTGATTTGCTTTTAAGTATCTGTTCCTTTAAGTTTTGGAGGAGCTGAATACATTGTTGAGTTTATTTTTTTGGTGGAGTAAGTGGGTATATTTGAGGATAAGGATGAGGGTTGCATAAGAGAAAAGAGGGAAGTCCACTTAAGTGAGAATTTTATTAAAGTAACATTCAAACTGGGCTCAGTGGCTCAGCCTGTAATCCCGCACCTTTGGGAGGCTGAGGTGAGTGGATTGCCTGAGCCCGCGGGTTTGAGACCCACCTGAGCAGCGAGACCTCATCTCTACAATAAATAAAAAAAATCAGCCGGGCGTGGTAGCGCATGCTTGTAATTCTGGCTACTCGGAAGGCTGAGGCGGAAGGATTGCCGGAGCCCAGCAGGTCGAGGCTGCGGTGGCCGGGAGCGGCCACTGCACTCCAGTGTGGGTGACAGAGTGAGACTCCAACTCAAAAAAAAAAAAGAAAGTAACATTCAGATGGACAGCACCTGAAGGAAGGGAATCACTTGTGTAGCATGGCTCCTTAACTTAAAACTCCCAATAATGTGAAACTTTCTTGCTGTTATGACATGGCATCCAAGCTTTGTATTTAAATGTTGTTTGACTGAATAATCAATTAAAGTCCTTTAAAAATTCAGCACAACCAGAATTTGGCACAAGGAATCCATTATTTTTATATTAGTGGAATTTAATAACATTAAAAAAAAAATTTTATTGAAATGAACTAAAAAAAGCAGACACTAAGAAAGAAAAAGCTATATACTGCCCCGAATAAAAATTAAATATTGGAGGAGAGAGAGTAATTTTACTAATAGGATGGGGAGAGTGATTGAAATAAAATGCAGCAACTTTTATTTCAAATCTGTAATTTTTAAAAGTTGATTAGTCTCACCAGACAACAACAAATTTCTATTTTAATGAAGAATTAAGGTGATTTGGCTATATATATATGTGATTTAGGTGGTTCCAAAATAAGTTTTCAACATTTATCTTACCATTTTTTAAATTAGGTCTTGCTTCCTATTTGAAATACAATTTTGAACTGATTAGCTCTATGTGTGACAGTGACAGTATTCACACCTGAGAAACTCCATTAAGACAAGGCCATGATTTTAATCAAGAATGAAGGGCAATCATATTACTTGTCACCAAAAACTCCATTTAAGACATATTTTTGCTTTTGCCTGAGCTGAAGGACTTTTAAAACTAGTTTAGCAGAGTCTATATATAAATTTAGATTTGTTTCAAGTGGGAGTCCCAGTATTGCAGGGCAATAATTCAACTAGAGATGATTATTTCCTGCATCTGGCCTGTTCTCCAGGTTCGAGGCCTTGTCCCTTCTCTCCCCACAGTGGGGTTTTTCTGAGTGAAAGCCTGTGGGCTGACTCGACTCTGGCATCACCTCAAGGCCTCTTGGGCACTTGTGTCCTTTTCCTCAGGGTTGCCGAGCATACAGTGTTTTCCTTTGTTCAAGCATAGTCATGCAGGTATATGGCCCTCTGGAGAACAGACTCATCTGGGTAGGGACATGTGAAAGCAAAGGTTATTTTCCAAAATGTCTGGAGAGAGCAGAAGCAGGACTATATAGATTAGATTTTTCTTTTTTAGTGAAGGAGCATAAGTGTGATTTCTTATTGCATGGGTCATTCAGAAGTAAGGGACTGATTGCACTGTGGCTTCATAGATCTGTGACCTATCAGAAGGGACAAGGCATGATCTGAGGTAGTCTTGGATGCTGGGTGGAGAACAGGGATTACTGAAATTAGCACTGTCCATGCAAAAATGGTGACCACAGTGGATTAAAAAGCATTTCCATTGATCCTAATGCTTTTGTTTATTCTTTTGAAAACATAGAAACACTGAGGATATGTATTCTTAAAAGTATTTACTGTGAAAGATCGGTTGTAATACTTAGTTATTTTATTTCCAAGGGCTCTGAGAAATATTACCAGCTGTGGGTCAGTTCTGGCAAGAAAGAGGCCCCGTTCCCTATCATTGGTAAGTCTCAAGAAAATTGCAAAGTGGGATTGATTTGGTTCACAATTTTACCTCTTAAGTCTCAAAGTATTGACTGTTTTTAAGCTTAAACACTCTTAAAAGTTAAAATTTTATGCAATATTTATTCATATACTTAATAAATAATTGCCAAGTCCTCACTGTATCTCAGGTACCTTATACTATCTCTGACATGATCTAGTTTGGAAAACAAAAGGAATTTTTCCTGTTGAATTTCTTCCTTGACAAACAGCTTTCTTGAAAAAAATGCATTGTGATTTCAGTTTGAAGGCTTCGGTGCCATTTTCTAACTACTAGGCAACCTTTATTTTGTGACGATCTTCTAAAATTCAGTCATGCTTCTGAATCTAAGTTTAAATATTATTTTAACACCTGCTTAAGGAATTTTTCTCAAGATCATAAGATAGATCATGAGATAATCACATTCAGACTCCTGAAGTCTTCCCTGACTGATCAACACATGCTTTGTCACTTCTTAGATACAGTTTTCTAGCATTTGTTCTTGAGGTTATTGATAGGTTATACTTCTCCTAAAATAATTATTAGAACAATTTTAGCTAAGTAACAATAATTATTGGATCAGCAATTTTGCTCAATGTGGTTAATAGAGACAGAGTGATTAAAATAAGAGGAGGGGATAGGATCTATAGCAGACCATGTGGCACAGTGATGGTGGTGCTTTCTGCCTACCACCAGTCGTGCCGGTCCGAGGCCCAGGGACCTTCGGTCACACGCAGGGCTGGATATTGCGGCCCCCTGCTGCTGCTGTTCCACCACATACTTGGGAGTCTCGGGTCCCAGCTCCCTCCCTGGCTGCATCGTCTCCTGCCTGGCCCCCAGCACCAAGCCGCTGGTCACTCAGGGAGACTCCGGGCGCCTGCCCCTCAGAAACACCAGTCCCATTACTGGCTAAAGTACCCTGGGGGCGGCCCAGGGCCAATCTTGCCGCTCAGTGCCTGCCCTTTGGAGCTTTGGAGCGCTGGAGCTCTGGGCCCACCCTGGCTGAGGTACTCAGCATGTGACCCCAAGTTGGGGATCCCAGACAAGCGGAGAGAAACGAATCTGCAAAAACTGTCTCAGCCATTCTCCAGGCAGAGACTTCCATTGCCCCACCCACCTATCAACAAACCCTACCTCAGTTCCTAAGGTAACGTCGTGAAACAGGAGACAAAGCCCCACCCCTACGCTGAATCAGGCAAAAGCAACACCCAGGCAGCCGACTAAAAAAAAAAAAACCAAAAAATACAAACCCAAACTGCAAGTAAATCTAGCTGCCTGCAATGAAAAACAAAGGGGAGAGGTCAGAGATCACAGCTGCAGTGATGTTAGTCTGATCACTTATTTTGACTTCTGATTTTATCATTTGGACTGTTTGTTTTGATCTGACTTACACTGTTTCTTGATTTTATTGGTCTGTCTCTGTGTAGCTATCAGTATTCTTTAGGGAATCTTTCGTATGTGTCTTTTTTCACTTCTTTCCGGCCTTGTGTCTCTCTGTCACCTGATAGTTTGTATGTATGCTTGTTTTCCCTCTCGCTGTTCTCTCTTTCTAACTTCCTATTGACCCCTCCTTCCTCCATTATTTTCCTCTTTTATACCCCCCTTTTTAATCTAGGGACCAAGACTACATACTGCTGAACAGACAGATTGTAAGGCAGAGGGAAATAGGTTCCAGTGTGCTCATACACCTGTTTGTGGATGCTAGAATCAGCATATACATTCTGAACCACAGCTTCCCTCTCAAGTAAACCTCAAAATTGCAAAAAGTACAGATTGCAGCCTACACTCTAACCTGAAAAGTGAACAAAGCCAGAAGACCCTCCTAAGGAAGAACAGGAAATTGCAGAAGAGAAATAAAAGCAACCTCACCTTGCCTAAAAAACCGAATTAGAAAGGGGAGGGAAAGGGGGAGAGAGAGAAAAATCTACACAAAAACCAAGAAAAACCAAAAGAAGCTGGAAAAGCAAGAACCCTAGAAGGGCAGACACTGAGAAAACTGACTTTGGAATGCAAGCAATGAAGAGCCCCCAGAATGAAGGGTCTCAAACTACACACCTAGATATCAAGACATTAATGGAGAGATTAAAAAGAATTGAGGAGACACAAGAAGAAACTCGGAAGGAACTGATATCTGAGATAACAGTAATAAAGAATACTGTGAATGAAATAAATAACAAACTAATAAGCATGGAAAGCAGAATTACCCAAGCAGAAGAAAGAATCTCAGAGCTTGAGGACCAAAATATAGAACCTACCCAAACTCTTAAAAAAACACAGAAAATAATCTCACAAAGACAGAACAAAACCTTCAAGAGAAGAGCGATTACTTCAAGAGACCAAACCTAAGAGTAATTGGCATTCCTGAGGCAGAAAGAGAGACAGAGACCACACTGGAACAAACTTTCCATGAGATCATTCAAGAAAACTTCCCTTATCTAATCAGTGATGCAAAAATTCAAACACAAGAGATTCAGAGAACCCCCGCAAGACAACAAATAAGAAGACCAACTCCTAGACACACATAGTTCGCATAAACAAAGTAGGCATAAAAGAAAAAATCCTAAAGGCAGTGAGAGAAAAAGGCCAGATCGCCTACCATGGAAGATCTATCAGAATAGCAGCAGATTTATCTACAGAAACCCTGCAGTCTAGGAGAGTTTGGAGCCCTGTCTTCAAAGTTCTAAAAGATAAACAATTTCAACCAAGAATAACATACCCAGCTCAGCTAAGCTTCATCAGTGAGAGCGAATTAAAATCTTTCCCAGATATCCAGTCCCTAAGAACTTAATGCTGCCACCAAACCACCTCTATGTGAAACACTTAAGAAAGTACTAAACACAGAAGAAAAGGAAAAAAGAACAACGGTCTTCACAAGAGTACAGGGGAAAGAATAAAACATACATGAACCAACCCCAAAACCAAAAGAAAGACAAAAAAAAAAAAAAAAAACCCAAGTGGAAGAACAATAACTCTATAAGAACTCTATGATAGGGACGAACTCTCAAATTTCAATAATTAGCCTGAATGTGAATGGACTAAACGCACCACTGAAAAGACATAGAATTGCAAAATGGATAAAACATCACCAGGCAACAATATACTGCCTTCAAGAGACCTATCTCACTAGAAAGGACATAAACAGACTCAAAGTAAGAGGATGGGAAATAAATTTTCAGATGAATGGAACACCAAAGAAAGGAGGAGGTGCGACCCTAATTTCAGACAAAATACCATTTAAGCTATCAAAAATTAAAAAAGATACAGAGGGCCACTGCATAATGATAAAAGGTTCACTCCATCAACAAGAAATATCTATCCTAAACATATATGCACCCAACATAGGTGTGCCAACTTTCATAAAGCAACTTCTAGGAAAACTAAAGAAAGATATTGACTCTAACACCACCATAACTGGGGACTTTAATACCCCACTCACAACCCTAGACAGTTCATCAGGACAAAAAATCAGCAAGGAGATCCGGAGCCTCACTGTGACTCTGGACTGAATGGACTTAACTGATACCTACAGAACACTCTAAACAAAGACCACAGAATACACATTCTACTCATCACCGCATGGAACGTATTCTAGGATCGACCACATAATTGGCCATAAATCAAGCATAAGCAAATTTAAAAGGACCAAAATTCTACCATGCACTTTCTCGGACCACAGTGGAATAAAAATAAACATTGACACCAACAAGGTCCCCCCCAAAACCCACAAAAACATGGACACTAAACAGCATGATGCTAAACAACTCCTGGGTCAATGATGAAATCAAAACAGAGATCAAAAGATACCTGGAAACAAATGAAAATGAAGAAACATCTTACCAAAATCTCTGGGACACCTTAAAAGCTGTAGTATGAGGGGAATTTATATCCCTACAAACACACATGAAAAAAATGGAAGGAACACAAATTAACAGCCTAACAAGCCATCTAAGGAAACTGGAAAAGCAAGACTCAAAAATCCTAATTTCAGCAGAAGAATCCAGATCACCAAAATAAAAGCCCAAATCCAGGACATAGAAGACAAAAAGATAATACAAAAAAATCAATGAAACAAAAAGCTGGTTCTTCGAAAGGATAAACAAGATCAATGGTCCCTAGCTACACTGACCCAAGAAAAAATGAGAAAAAACCCAAATAAGCACAATCAGAAACACAAAAGTTGAAGTCACTTCTGACCTTGAAGAAATACAAAAGATCATTAGAGACTACTACGTACACTTGTATGGAAACAAACTTGAAAACCTTAAGGAAATGGAGGACTTTCTGACATACACAGCCTACCTAGGTTGGAACAAGACGAAATCTAGACCCTAAATAGACCAATAACAATCAAGGAAATCAACTACATAATAAGAAAACTACTTACAAAAAAAGCCCTGGTTCAGATGACTTTCCAGCAGAATTCTGCAAGACATCTAAGGAGGAGATGTCTACCAGTCCTACTGAAGGTATTCCAGGCGATTGAAAAAGATGGAACTCTCCCCAAATCATTTTACAAAGCCAACATCACATTGGTACCCAAGCCAGTGAAAGATCCAACAAAGAAAGAGAACTACAGGCCAATATCTTTGATGAACATAGATGCTAAAATTCTCAACAAGATCCTAGCAAACCGGATTCAACAAAATTTCTCGAAAATCATCCATCATGACCAAGTAAGCTTCATTCCTGGGATGCCAGGCTGGTTCAACATTCGCAAAACCATAAATGTAATTAAATACATCAACACATGTCAAAACAAAAACCACATGATTATATCATTAGATACAGAAAAACCTTTTAATAAAATCCAGCACCCCTTCTTGATAAACACCCTCAATCATCTAGGCATACGGGGAACATATCTCAAAATAATAAAAACCATCTACGAGAACCCCATAGCCAGCATACTCCTGAACGGACAAAAATTGGAACCATTTCCCCTGAAAACTGTAACAAGACAAGGATGCCTACTCTCACCCCTCCTGTTCAACATAGTATTGGAAGTCCTGGCTCAAGCAATCAGAGAAGAGAAGGCAATCAGGGGTATCCAAATAGGAAAAGGGAAGTCAAGTTAACTCTCTTTGCAGATGATATGATTGTGTACCTTGAAAACCCAAGAGAATCTGTCAAAAACTCCTTACACTGATAAAGGCCTTTGGCAAAGTCTCAGCATACAAAATCAATGTGCAAAAGACAATCGCATTTCTTTACACCAATAATAAACACACAGAAACCCAAATAAAAACCACAATGCCATTCACAATAGCCACAAAAAAATGAAATGCCTTGGCATCTTCCTAACCAGAGACGTGAAAGACCCTCACAATGAAAACTACAAAACACTGCTCAAAGAAATCAAAGATGGCACAAACAAGTGGAGAAATATCTCATGCTCATGGATTGGAAGAATCAACATTGTGAAGATGTCCATCTTACCTAAGGCAATCTACAAATTCAATGCAATACCCATCAAATTACCAGCAATATTCTTCTCAGACCTAGAAAAAAGCAACACAGGAATTCATATGGAAACACAAAGTCCAAGAATAGCCAGAACAATCCTCAGCAAAAAAAAACAAAGCAGGTGCTATCACATTACCAGACTTCCAACTTTACTATAAAGCTACAATCATCAAAACAGCTTGGTATTGGTACAGGAACAGGCATATAGATCAATGGAATAGAATTGAGATTCCAGAGGCAAAACCTCAATTTCTCAACCAACTCATCTTTGACAAAGCCTCCACTACCTACCACTGGGGAGAAGAGAACCTATTCAGTAAATGGTGCTGGGAAAACTGACTGCCCACATGTAGAAGATTGAAACAGGACCTCTATCTATCCCCAAGCACAAAGGTTAACTCCAAATGGATCAGAGACCTAAATGTAAAACCTCAAACCATAAGAACCTTAGAAAATGAAGGACATACCCTCATGGAAATCGGAACTGGCATCCAATTCCTGAACAAAACCCGAAACCCACAGGTCATAAGAGAGAAGATAGACAGGTGGGACCTTATTAAACTGACAAGCTTCTACAAAGCCAGAGAAACCATCAAGAGAGCAGGGAGATAGCCTACAGATTGGGAAGAAGTATTTTGCCAACACCAGGTCTGACAAAGGCTTAACATCTTGGATCTACAAGGAACACGAACGTGCTGAAAAGAAAAAAACAAACAACCCCATTATAAAATGGGCAAAAGATATGAACAGACACTTCACAAAGGAAGACATCTGAGCAACCAACAGACACATGAAGAAATGTTCAACCTCACTAATCATCAGGGAGATGCAAATCAAAACCACAGTGAGATACCACCAAACTCCAGTCAGAATGGCAATTATCAACAACTCAAAAAATAACAGCTGCTGGAGAGGGTGTGGCGAAAAGGGAACACTTCTACACTGTTGGTGGGAGTGTAAACTAGTACAACCTCTGTGGAAAGCAGTGTGGTGATTCCTAAAAGCTCTAAATATCAACCTCCCATATGACCCCACAATCCCCCTACTGGAAATATACACTGAAGAACTCAAATCACTCTATAAAAAAGATACCTGCACATGTATTTTTATCGCAGCGTTGTTCACAATAGCAAGAACCTGGAAGCAACCATGCCGCCCATCAAAAGAGGAATGGATTTTAAAAACATGGTACATATACACGATGGAATACTACGCAGCCATAAAATAGAACAAAATCATGAATTTTGCAGCAACCTGGATGGAACTAGAGTCTATAATACTGAGTGACCTCTCACAAAAATAAAGATCCAAGTATCACATGTTCTCACTCATATAATGGACCTTGAACTTCCAATGTAATACTCTAAGAAAATGACTGACATTGGTGGGAAACTATGGCAGGGAGGGGAAGGGAGATGGGATTAACGGTAGCAAATATCTGTCTGGGGACGGGGAAACACCTCTTATCAACAGGGTTCCTGAATGAAACGTATTTGTATACTTAACCCTTAGCTGTACCCCACACCATTATAATAAAAAATATTGATTAAAAAATTAAATTTTAAAAGAAGCCAAAAATAAAGAAAAACAAGCAATCACTACCAATTTTTATTAATGTATTTACCTTTATCCTTGTAATAAGTCTATGTGTTAGGAAGAGTATTTAAAATGAGGAATGTAAGGCTAGAGAGGCCAAGTAATTTACCTAATATGTAAAAATCTACTTTAGTGAAACATAAATGAGAAGATCTTAAATATTGTCAGATGGGAAACATAGCAAAAGTCACCATTGTGCAATGCAAAAATGGGTATGTACGTTCCAAGCAAGGCAACGTGTTTGCGGTTTTTTTCTCCTGTTTAAAGTCTCTGCTTGAATGCTTGTTTTATGTGGGGTCTCCCCAGTGAGAGTGCACGTGTTCCTCACTCAAGAAGACACAGCCTTCTTTATTCCAGAAGCCCCCAAGAACTACAGCATGAATCAGTGGCGTGTGCTCACTCATAGTAAGGTGGGTTGGATCACATGCCTCACCATCAGCCTAAATCTATATTTACATTTTTCTCCACATAGGACATGAACAACCCTATAAAATTCACATGAGCCTCCTTCAAGCCCCTGGGCTTCTGCCAGAGAACTCCACCTCTCCTACCCTCCAGGAGCCCATCCCGGAGCAGCCATCCCTAGACATGCAAGGCCGGTTCAACCTGAAGCCCAGGCACCTGCCTAAAGGCCAGCAGGAAAGTGGTGAGTCCCTTTCCTTCCTGCAAGTGTCTTGTCTCAACTTGTCTCCATTTCTAAGAACAAATACATGACAGAGAGATTTTCACCTGTGGGGAGGCAGACAGTATAGACAGGGATTCTCTGCCTGCCCAGAATCAGCTTCAGAGAAACCTCAAGGTCATAGTCAAGACCAAACTCAGTCTTAGGAAGATTTTTTGCATTCCTCGAAGTTGGAAGATGCTCCCTTTTCTGTATCCCCAGAACACTGTACACATATAATTATGTGTTTGCACTCTGTGTGTCTCATTCGATTATGACTTCTGAAGGCCTGGGAACTCTTGTCTTTCTTCTCCCAGGGCTTTGCTCAGTATCTGGGATCAAGCAGAGAGTGATCCAATGACTGCATGACTTAGACACACCAGGATGAAAGATCTAGCGAAGACCAGAGTTATAGCATTGAGCTGAAATCTGTTCTGGACTGGGGCTGAAGCACCCATGGGTTCTAGCCTGGATTGAACTCTCAATCCTACTCATTCCCCCACCAAGCTTTCTTTCCATGTCTGCTTCAGAGCTGGGTCTAGACTAGAACTGGACTGAACATTTTTGGTAGAGGTTTTGAATCTTCCTTCTTTACTATATTTCCTAATACCATTATTGTACTCTCCCATTAATTTTACTTTCATCGAAGAAAATGTACTATTGTAATTTGGGAAAGATTTGGCAAGAATGGAATTTCTACTTAAACTATTTTTATTGTTATGATGCTGTCTCATAAGTGCAAAGTTTCAAAATTTTTATTTTTAATGTTCATGCCCTTATTTGAGCATAAGAAAACCACGACAGATCATTTCAGAGCTGTTTAAGAAAGGCTTGATTCCAATAAAGTTAGTTTGCTTCATCACCCCCTATTTTTTATGACAATAGATATGTTTTTATTGTTTAGAGAAGCAGCACGACCGCATACAAATAATGCACATGACAAAATGTGCAGCTAAGCATGAAACTATTTTTAAGAAACTACAAGACTCAATGTCTACTTTGCTATTTGACTTTGTTATTAGGTGTATAGCTTTATATAAACGGATAGACCATTCTTCTTAATTATATGCTCTTATTAAAGATAAAGAACTGAATGTATTTGGATAGGTTAGAAACAAAATCATGTTAAGAGTAGGGATATCAGGCAATGTATGGTGACTCAACTTATCTGTTAATGTGTATATGCTGACATACAGAGTGTCCTGCTGGATTTAGGAATGTATTTGCTTTCTTCCTTATCTCCTTTCAAATAGGTGAAAGAACTGCATACCTCCTGGAGGATGCCAAACCATTGTTGGAGGGGAGTAGGATCTGTTCTGAGGGAATGAGACTGACATCTAGGCTACCTTAGGTCATCTGAGTGAGGGATAATTACTTTATCAGTACTCCTATCAACAATTCTTTTTGCTGAATAGCACATTATATTACTCACATTAATGAGTAGTCATCAGAGTGGAGCAAAGTGAAGCTCACAGAGTTTTGTTTTGTTTTGTTTTTTTGAGTTGGAGTCTCACTTGGTCACCCAGACTGGAGTGCAGTGGCCACTCCCGGCCACCGCAGCCTCGCCTGCTGGGCTCCGGCGACCCTTCCGCCTCAGCCTTCCGAGTAACCGGAATTACAGGCATGTGCTACCACGCCCGGCTGATTTTTTGATTTATTGTAGAGATGAGGTCTCGCTGCCCACGCAGGTCTCAAACCCGCTCACAGAGTTTTGAGTAACTTGTTCAAACGAGAGGGAGAACCAGGAGCCCATTAATCTTCTCTGATCCAGCACAGTGAGCATCGGCCCTATGTGAGTGTACTTGGAGATGCATTCAACATCTCAGAGAAGCCAGGTGGATTAATGTTGTGCACCTGTTTATATTTCTAAACTCAGTTCCATTATTGAATTTTTCAGAATTTAGTAGAAGTAGGTTTTTAAAGGAAATATTAAAATACAGCAGAACAGCTGGAACTGGGAGCTCAGTTTTTATTGATGATTAGTTATTCTGTGAAAAGCTCTTCTTTAGCATTCCTTTGACAAGGATGTTGCATAGATAAAAACCAAATCTGGGAAGGTTGGCAGGGTGTCACAAGGAACAAAACGACCTGGGGTCTTACCATACTACCAAGGCCTGACTAGAGAAAGTGGAGTCATATCATCCACAGAGCTACCTGAGAGTTGCATCCTTCAGAAAAAAGAGGCCCAAGGTTGACTGAAAAGTAAAGCCAGATGGACTGTAGGCTGAAGGTTCCTTTGATGGGAGAAAGCTGACCGTGGTTAGGCACTTTGAAAGACAAACAGGAAATCTGAGTGGCAGGAGACTTACTATAAAATTGGATAATTACCAAAATCTGTTTGATTTAGCTTACTGAAATCCCAGAACTCCTGATCTCAATGGGTCTCCCCACCTCAGGCTCCTAACTATCTAGAATTACTGATGTGCACCACCACACTTGAATATTTTTAGCTCTTAAAATGTTATATGACTCCTGAATCCACTATCGTACTTAGCATCAGGAAATTTATACAGCTAGATGTTAAGTGCCTCATGGTAGAATAGAACAGGTGGTAAACACCAGTGTTGAGGAAAGATTTATACTGGAAAAATGGAATATGTGTTGGTCCAAACCTCCAGGTTTAGCTTCAGTCTGCAGGACATGGGCAAGAACACATGAATACCACAAGAATGCAATTAGCAAGTGTCATAATGTGGGCAATTCTGCACAACACATGATTCCATATCTCTCTCTCCTGGCCATTGCAACAAACATACTATAAAAAGAAAATACAGTAAGTCCCCTACATATGAACCTTCAAGTTGCAGACTTTCAAGGATGCAAATATGTGTTCACATGTCCAATCCTGTAAGTTAGTTGACGTGTCTGATGTACATGGTCATGCAAATTAATCCTCTCCAAGTGACAGTGCTTTTGTATGATAGTGTTTTTGATAGTGCTTTATGTATTTTTTGTGTGAAAAGTTCCATAATTTATTGCCTTACAGTACTAAATAGCTGATTATGTTAGTTGGGTACCTAAGCTACCTTTACCTTTATGCACCTTTGGACTCCCAATGTGCTCTCAGAACAGAATGCATTCATTTTTAGAGACTTATTGAAGTGGAAATAAAGTTAGGTCAATTGAATGACACATGAAATAATCTCAATTTTTACACAATCAGATCAGAAGACGGTGAGGAGGTGGTCGGTATTGAACTGGGCCTTTCATCAGCAATCCAATACTAGCAAGAGGTTGGCGGATGATGAACTGGGCACTGGGCATCTCAGCCTCCAGGGTGAAGAGGCTTCACCAGCCCCAAAGCCTGAACAGCTCTTTGGTGTTCCTCTCAGTGACGTTTGCAAAAATGACATCCTGCCAACCCCTGTTCAGGTAGGTTTTGCTTGGGCTTCCATAGTCCTCTTAAGGAGACAGAATTCTGGGGAGTTGAGTGGTCTCCTCCAAATCTCATCACTAAAGGGAGAAATCATTAGACAATCCTAGTTGGGCAGAAATTTGTCAATGAAACTTCGGGTAATGAAAATCTGATTTAGGTACTGCAAGATCATAAGACACACACAAGAGAGAAAACTACTCTGGTTTCAGCAGAGACTCACATACTTCGTTGTTTAGATATGTGTAATATGGGGATGATGGCTAGAATTAGGATTGATAATACTAGGGCTAAAACACCTCCTAGTTTGTTGGGAATAGATCGTAGGATAGCATATGCGAATAAGAAATATCACTCTGGTTTAATATGGGGTGGAGTGTTTAGAGGATTGGCTGGGGTATAATTGTCTGGGTCTCCTAGGAGATCTGGTATAAATAGGACTAGGATCATAAGGAGTATTATTAGGATTATTAAGCCTAGGATATCTTTGATTGTAAAGTATGGGTGGAATGGGATTTTGTCGGTATCGGATGATATTCCTGAGGGATTGTTAGACCCGGTTTCATGAAGAAATAGGAGATGAACAATTACGAGGGCTGTTACTACGAATGGGAGGATAAAATGAAAGGCGAAAAATCGTGTGAGGGTGGCTTTATCGACTGAGAAACCCCCTCAGATTCATTCAACTAGGTTGGTACCAATATAGGGAATGGCGGATAAGAGGTTGGTGATGACGGTGGCGCCTCAAAATGATATCTGTCCTCATGGGAGGACATAACCTATAAATGCTGTTGCTATGACTGCAAATAATAGGAGGATTCCAATATTTCATGTCTCTAGGAAAGTGAAAGAGCCATAGTATAGACCTCGGCCTACATGTATAAATAAGCAGAGGAAAAATATAGATGCTCCGTTTGCATGTAAGTACCGGATAATTCATCCGTAGTTTACGTCTCGGCAGATGTGTGTTACGGAGGAGAATGCGGTTGTTGTGTCTGATGTATAGTGTATGGCTAAAAACCTTGACTAGAAGCCCAAAAGTTTACTAGAGATTATTATGCTAAGCCATGAATGGTTGGACTGTCCTGGTCTTGCATCTGAAGGAGATTTGTTGAGGGGGGATGGGATGGGATAGGCTGCTTGTTCTGCAGTAGAATGTCTGAACACTATCTTTTTTTTTTTTTTTTTT